TTAGATGACCGCAAAAAGAACTGACATTTTTCAAGGCCACTTATGATAGTTGAGGACTGGGAGGTAGACAATAAATCTGATTTAATGGAAGATTCTATAGTATGTGAAAAACCCCTCTTTCTAGTAGAAAACGATGAGAAAAATGCCATTCCTTCACTCACAGTAAAGGATGTTATAGAAATTGCAACTCGGCAAGATAAATATTGTAAAGTATGTCATGTTCCACTTCTATTCCAAGGCTATCCCAAACGTTATCCACAGTCATTTTCAGTTGATCGACTTGATGATGCTGAAGGACATTATCACCAAAATGTAAGAATTACTTGTTTTCGTTATAATGAATGACATCGACATTAGAGATAACAGAAAAAAGAGCAACAGCTAAGCTTAAACCTCAATACCAGTAATAAGATAACCAAGTGAGTTAAACTTTGTGAAACTAACCTATTTATTAAACTTTTTTTCATGAGTAATAAATATTCAATATATTGGATAAATGGTAGATAAGAAAGAGTACGATGAATTTATCAAAGAATATAACATACGTATATTTAACCTACTTACACTTCCAAATATCATTGCTGAAATCGTCCAAAAACTTCCATTAGAGAACCTAGGTATAGTTTGTTGGATTAATCAAACTTGGTATAAAGAAATTCAATATGAACTCCGAAAAAGGTGGGAGATACAAGTGTTAAAAGGTTATAAATTAGATCTTGAAAAAGATTATGATGATGTCAAGCATCAAGTCTTTGACTCTCCAATAAATGATATGCTAATTCTATTAATTTCATTCCGAGATTTTTTATTTATCAAATGTAGAGAAAGCGAGTTGACCTACCCATCTGCCATATATATTTTTTTCTAATATAATAAATATCTAACTCTGAAATTTATAGGTGAGTACTAGAATCTAAACGAAAGACTAATTATTATTAATATCAAATAGATCGTAGGTTTCAGAAATATGACTTCAATGGTTATTCCTCTATATCTTCTTCGCTATCATAAAAATAGCTAAAATCAAAATCAGATGTCTCATTTATTTCAACGTCAATATCTCTTAAAAAGTGAATATAGTTAAATATAAGATCCTCCAGATCTTTTGAAAAATTATTATATAGAATAGGAGGTTTATACATTCTTAATGAATTAACTGAATAGAAAATATCATCTATTTGGGAATATATAATTCTAAGATGATCTTTTTTCAGTATTCCATTATATAATGGAACATTATTAAATCGTTCAACCCAAACATTAAAATAAAATTCATATAATTTTATAAGTGCTCGAAATTCTTTTGAACGTCAGGTATGATTAACAGCAAGAATCTTAAATAGGTCATCATCGCTAGAAAAATGAAAAAGTATTTTTCCAAAATTTCAGGTATTAATAAAACACGTGTTGCAAGAGAATTGTTAGAGATAGATACAAAGTGTCTAACATTAGTTTCCACATTCATAATTTATTTAGTTTGATTAACCTTGGATAGAAATATAAATAAGTGTCCAGATAAGTGTAGTTAATTAGTAACTGTTAACAGGCAGATTACTATTTTTACTATTTGTTTTTATTAATAGAAAGCTAAATGCTAACTAAATAGATAACTATGTTCCACTATGTTCTACATCTGTTTCGCATTCACCAAAAGGTTCATGCTCACATTAATAGAATACTAATTAGCAATCAAATAAGATAACTATACAATATATTTTTTATCTAACGAAAATGTGATCTAAATCATAAAACAAACATCATCGAAATTAAGATTCCAAAAACTTCAACTAGGCAAGAAAGCAAAATAGAATTCTAGACATATTAAAAGATGAAAAAGCTCAAAATCTATACAATATATTTTTTATCTAACGAAAATGTGACCTAAATCATAAAACAAACATCATCGAAATTAAGATTCCGAAAACTCCAGCTAGGCAAGAAAGCAAAATAGAATTCTAAACATATTAAAAGACGAAAAAGCTCAAAAAGCTATACAATAACTAAAAAAAATCACTATAGTAGAAAATGAGCTTGCGCCAGCTAGCCGATGTTAATACCTTAGCTGAGAAACTCCCTATTCCCCCCCCTCGTATTTTATCTTTCTGAGACATGATACGTCTAATAAGATCTATAACACTAAATATATACCAGAATGTATGTTAGCACCTATATATAAAAAGGTAAGTATTCTAGTAGAAGTCTTAAAAAGTTATGTAGATGGTATGTAACATTATATAATTTAAAAAAGAAAGATATAAAGACATGTATGGAAGTGATTATGAATCAATATGCAAGGTTAATAATAGGAAATGAAATATTTGAGTTCAAAATCACAGGCCGATATGAAAATAATACAGTAATCTTAGCAAAATGGGAGGCCTTTAGAAATGGAACAAGTGATATTTATCTTGGAGAGATATAATATTACTTTGAACATACACTTATCCTTTCGAATAGATCAAGAACATATCTTTTAGCCTACATCAAATGATACAAAAATGCGTCTTTCTCTAGTATTCGATTTAAGCATAAATTTATGATATCTGAAGTATCAAATACAGAAGAATATTATAAGGAAGGTATAGATTCAATTATTGCAGTACATAGAATATATGATCAAGTCATTAAGATAGACTATCGGGTGAAGAATAAGAATAAGAAAAATTATGTTTCAATAATTCCATTGAATAGAAGATTTAATGTTTAATTTATTTTATTTAATAATAAATAATAAAGAGATTATCTAATACAATGAGCATATAATAATATTGTATACCCAAATAAAATAATTAGAATACCATCCACCTGATATTACTATTTTAGTATCATGTACCTGATATTCAAGACAATATCGGAAACCTGAAATAATAATAAAATTATTTCATACTTATCACTATTATATCAGGTACATAATAAAATTTACAAAATTAATTATTGGGTATTTGATAATAATCAATTATATCAGGTACCTGATATATTTATTTTTCCTCAATAAGTGTTCGATAGGTGTCTGATAAATGTCTGATATTTAAATTTTGACCTGTGGTACCTTGTACTGATTGTGGTAAATCAACTGGATCAATTTCTGGTCATTGCCCTTTATATACTAGAGAGTATTATGTTACTTAATATTATAATAGACTTTGATCAAATATATGAGAAAGAACTTATGATGAAATATTGAATATACTTTTATCAAATGTATCAGAAAAACTTATAAGGAAATAATGGATGCCTATGGAGACACACTTACAAATATTAATATTACTCTTTATAAAGAATGTTTACTTCCAATAAAAATGAAAATGGAAAAATATTGTAATAGTTATCAATCTGGTTCAGTACTATAATAGATTATGTGCTAGGGTTTCAAAATTAGATTCCTGATGAGTGAAAAAACCTGACCTAGAATTTTGTAACCTTTACCAAAAATCTATTACTCTTACCGAAATTTTATTACTTTTTATAATATATAGTTACATTTTTGTTACCTTTACCAAAATTTTGTTACTCTTTATAATATATAGTTTATTTTTTTTGTTATCCTTTGTAGTATATAGACATATTTTTTATTACCTTTTGTGATATATGGTCATATTTTTTGTTACCTTTTGTGGTATATAGACACATTTTTTGTTAACCTTTGCAATATGTGATCACATTTTTTGTGCCAGAAAAATAATGAAGAATCAACTTTAGAATGAATTCTGATATATCAAATAATATCATAAATAATTGTTATCCTTTTTGATATGAATTTGAATAGATAAATGTATTTTAGATATATAAAAAATCAATGTATTTTGATATAAAAATAATGTGAAAAATAAAAATCTAATTTCATACTCTGTATAGTATATAGTATTAAGTTCCATAAATTGAAAAGCTTAAATTAATATATGAAAAATGGCATAATTTTAGAATGTGAAATATAACAAGTTAACTAGTGTTAGGTTAGAAAAAATGACATGTGTTTTCATATTTTTGGAGTGTGAAATATAGCAAGTTAACTAGTGTTGGACTAGAAAAAATGACATGCATTTTCATATTTTTGAAGCATGAAATATAGCAAGTTGACTAGTACTGTCCCAGGACCCCTATTTTTACCTTACTTATTATTCCTTGGTGAAATACTGAAACTCTTGTTAATTTATACCTTGCTTTGTGATCTTGGTGTATATAGTTTTTGTATTATAATTCTTTATATAGTGTTAAGAATTATCAGTTTAGTTTAGTTTATATTTTATTCTTTGTAAATAGTTTAGTTAAACCTTTATAAAAATCTTATAGCCTTGTCTCTTTTGAACAAATTCACAACATCTAAATCCTTCAATCATATTACTTTTTAGTATAAATTAGCTAATAGTTTATTATATTTTAGTTTAGTTACCATATCTTTAGCTAATAGTTAATCATATCTTTTGAAGGTCAGATCACAATAAACACTATATATAGAATAGATTTTGCATAAATCTCAAAAAGTTGAAATATCTCAAAAATCCAAAATCAATTTTGGAAACATGTATAATTATATCTAATAGAATTTTGACTATCAGTTCTTGGCAATGATGAGTCAGACCATAAAATCTTTATTTTTAGTCAGTTTAAATAAATGTATAATAAATTATCTTTAACTTTAAAAATTTATAACTAATATATATTAATGAAAGTTTATTGAAACAAGATTCTATTGAATTTAAAAAAAAAAATAATAATAATGATTTTTTTAAAAAATTAAAAAAACAGTTAAAAATTATTGACCATATAAAAAAATTAGTAATTACAGATGAAAAACAAAAAAGAATTTCACAAGCTCTCAACAAATTTTTTGTTTATTGTAAAATTCCATTTTGAATTATCAAAAATCCTTTCTTTATTGATTTTATAAAATTATTATATCCTGATTATCAAATTCTCAAAAGAACAAATTTATCTACAATTATAATTAATGTTAAAACTGTTGCTATTATTGTTGATATGAAAAATAAACTTTCTAATGAAACAAATTTAACTTTGGATATGTTTTATTTAACTTTACCAGTTAATTTAATAATTAATAATAATTAATAAAAATATTAATTATTTAAAATTTTTAATTATAATAATTTAATATAAAATCAAATAATTTTAATATTTTTAGATCTAAATAGATGGACCTCACCAGCTGGTCAATATTTATACATTTTTATAATTATAACAAGTGATAGACAAGAGTATATTCATTCTTTAAAAATTTTTTTAAGGATTTTCACATTGGAAAATTTTTAAAAAATGAAATGATTCAAATTATTGAAGATATAGGTACAGAGAAATTTTGTTCTATAGTTTCTGATCATGCTTCCAATGTAATTCTTGCAAAGAATTTAGTAGTAGAAAAATATCCACATATTTTATCAATGTGATATATTACATATCACATTTATCTTCTATCAAAAGATATTATACAACTTAATTGGGTTGCAAATATAATTGCAAATTTTAAAAAGATTGTAACTTTTTTTTAAACAATTTCATACCAGTGGTTCTTTTCTTCAACAAGAAATTATTGAAATATGATTAAAGGTAATAGATTAAAGAATTATATTGTAACAAGATGGACAACTTCATTTGATTGTACAGATTCAATTATAAGATGTGAATCTGTTTTAAAACAGGTAATAATATATTTTAAATCAGAATTTTAATTTAATTTAATTTAACTTTTATTATAATTAATTTTAATTTAACTTTTATTATAATTAATTTTAATTTAACTTTTATTATAATTAATTTTAAAGCTATTAGAAAATGAACCACAATTATTAAATCTTGATATAACAACAATTTTACAAAAACAGAATTTTTTTAGAAATGTTGAAGATTTAAAAACATTATTATTACCTATTAAAAAAGCAATAGTGAATCTTGAACATAAATCAACAACTCTAGCTGACTGTTTTATTAATCTTGTAACTATGGCAGCAGAAATTAAAAAAAAAAACCCTCCAAAAGAAATGAAAGTGCTATAAAGAAATGTATTTGAATTATGAACAAAAAGTAAAAAATCATGTAATAATTGAAAAATCATGTAGTACTTGAAAAAAAAAATTTTATTGATTTAATAAATCAAATAGAAAAAACATTTGATGTACGGTAATAATAATAATAATGTCGTAGACGGATTATGTAATACGGATACTCATGTATAAAAAATAAGAAAACTAAGGTATCACCGAAGCACAAAGATCGAACAAGAAAAATTAAGGGACAATTTTTTTTTTTTTTTCATTATCAGGATACTAAATTTTTTTTATTTCTCGCACTGCTTGCTTCTCTTACTCTTTTACTACTTACTTCTTCTTTCAAACTATTAATTTGAATCTTGAAAACTTTTTTTTTTAAACATTCTTTTAGTCCTAACAAACAACAAACAAACAAATAAAATAGCTGTTTGATATATATCTAACGGTTATATTATTTTTATTTATTTCTTTAATTGATTTAAATATCAGTCAATATTTATATAATATTTATTTTATTATTTTATATTATTTATTTATTTCATTCAATTTAAATCATTCAATATATATTTTTATTATTTCAAAAGGAAAAAAAAAAAGCAAATAAATCAACCAAGAGACAAATATTTATATCTTTTATTATTTATCTCTTTCTTCCTATACTTTACGTCTAACAATTTATATATTTATTTTAATCTTCGTTCATTTTATTCCTTTTTTTTTTTTTATTTAATTTCTCTTTTGAACTTTTTTTTTTTTTTTAAATTTTATTTAAATTTAAATTTCATAAATTTCGAGAAAAATGAGTAAAGACTTTTTTCTCTCACTTTCTAGAGATTTTCATCAATTACTTGATGAATCTGATGACTATAATGTGATTATTAGAGTAGGAGAAGCTCATGATGAGAAGACGTTTCATGCTCATTCTGTTATATTACGTGCGCGATCTCCTTATTTCCGTACGGCATTGGCAAATCAATGGGCGAGAAAAGAAGGAGATTATACTATATTCAGTAAACCTAATGTATCTCCGATTGTATTTGATCTTATTCTGAAGTGAGTACTTTTTTTAATAATAATAATAATAACAATTATTATTAATTATTAAATTATTATTAATTATTTAATTATTATTATTATTTAATTATAATAATCTCATTATTTTATGGTTATTAGATATATGTATAGCGGAACTATTAATCTTAGTCGACAGAATAATTCAGATGTTTTGGAATTATTAATTGCATCAGATGAGTTGTTACTTTCGGAATTATTCGAACATATTCAAGATTATCTTTTGAATTCTAAATCGGAATGGATCAAACGTAATGTAATAAAAGTTCATAGAACAATTTATCCTCATGACGGATGTAAAAAATTACAGGATTATTGTTTAGATATTATATGCAAAAATCCATTATTATTATTTGAATCCAAAGATTTTCATGAATTTGATGAATCTTTATTATTACCTTTATTAAGTAGAGATGATTTACAGATCGATGAAATTGAAATTTGGGATCACTTAATTCAATGGGGTTTAGCTCAAATGTCAGATCTGAATAATTCATCTTCTTTATCAACATCCGTTTCATCATCCACTTCCAACACTACTTCAACTTCATCTTCGTCTTCTTTATCATCATCTTCTTTATCATCATCCTCTTTATCATCTTCATCTTTATCATCTTCACCTTTATCATCTTCACCTTTATCATCTTCACCTTCATCCTCATCCTCTTTATCATCATCTTCTTTATCATCATCAGACGCTGATTCATCATCGGCATCACCTAATTTGGCAGTAGGAAATAATAATAAAATATCTAATTGGACAGATCAAGAATTCTTGGAATTGGAAAAAATTTTACATAATTGTATTCCATTAATTCGATTTATTTCTATTACATCAAGTGATTTCTATGATAAAGTTTGGCCATATCATAAAATTATTCCAGATGATTTAAGAGAAGAATTACTTCATTTTCACTTGAAAAAGAATATTACTATTCCCAGTCCAACCAGTTTATCAAAATCTTTATTAAATTCATCCTCCTTAACAACAACAACAACAACAACATCAACATCAAATCCACCTTCACCACCTTCACCTTCAACATCTTCTTCAAATTCAAATCCAAATTCAACATCAAATGTATCAAATCCATCATCATCATCATCGGTATCATCACCAACGGATTCACTTTATTATTATAGTAATAATTCATCAAGAATTCCACGATTTTTATTACCACCTCGAGTAATTCCTTTTGATTCCACATTACTTAAAACGGATCATATTGCACGATTATGTGATTGGATAGATCGTAAAGATGGTAAACCATATACATTTGAAGAAATTCCTTATAAATTTAAGTTATTGGTGAGAGGAAGTAGGGATGGATTTGAAGCTGAAACATTTCATGAAAAATGTGATAAACAAGGAGCCACCATAGTAATAATGCAAATTGCTTATAGTGGAGAATTAATTGGAGGATATAATCCAATTGAATGGAATACTGGGGATTATAGAATTACTACTCAAAATAGTTTTCTATTTTCATTTCCTAAAGTTACAAATTTAGGAAATCATTCTAATGGAAATAATAATAGTTTACTTGATTCTAAATTATTTAAAAATTATTCTTCATCTTTATCATCTTTTTCTTCAAGTAATTCAAATAATTTACATCATAATTCAAGTAATTCAAGTAATTTAAATAATTCGAGTAGTAGTTCAAGTAATTCGAACGGATATTATGATAATGGAATTAATCATCACAATCATAATAATCATAATCATCATCATAATCATAACAATCATAATCATCATAATAATTATCATCAAAATAATCATAATAATAATTCTAATAATAATTCTAATAATCATAATGGAGATTATAAATTAAATCTATCAGATGCCAAATTAAGTCGAGTTAATAGACCAGGATATGCGATAAGAATTAAAGATAAATCATATGGTCCTTGTTTTGGTGATAAAGATTTATGGATGAAGAATAATTTTAAAGATTATGATAGTTGTAGTAGTGATAAAGATGATTATTCCGAGAGGATTACTTCTTTAAGTAAATTTTGGGTGATGGAATATGAAGTATTTAAAGTTATTAGAAAATAAATAATTAATAAATAATGAAATATAAATATTTTATATATATTATTATTTATTATTATTATTTATTAATATTTTTATCATTTTTTTTATAGAATTATTTATTTAAATTTTTAACCACAAGGACAATTTATATTTATTTAATTAATTAATGAACATTTTGGTTTATTTTATTATTTAAATTAAAAATAAGAAGTATTTAAATTATTAAAATTTTCTTTAAGTTTATATTTCTAATAATAATAATAATTATCAAATAATTATATAATTATTATTATTAATAATTAAGGATTCCATAGTAAATAATTAACAAACGTAAGGACATATGAAAAAAAAATATATATATTGTAAGTAATAAATTAAATGTATGTCTTATAATTAATATGTAAGTAAAAAATAATTATTAATGACAAAAAAAAAAAAATAAATAAATAAATAAAAAATAATAATTAAATTATTTTTTATTCTTGTAATTAAATAATTACTTCTTTATTTATTGAATTTTATTACTTACTAATTACTGATTCATTATTAGTACAACTTATTATATTTATTATTCAAAAGTAAATTAAATGATAAAAAAAATAATAATCATTGCATTACACAGTAATATTAATAATTATAGAGATCTTCGTAATTCTTTTGCTAATTCAGAAATACTTGGTATAGGATCGTTCTCTGCGATTGATATCGTTTTCAACAATTGTTGTTGAACTGTTGGTAATGAATTCAATTGTGTACCTTAAAATGATAATTATTTAATATTAAATAATAAGAATTGAATTAAATAATTATTGAAATGTCAAATAATCCAATAATAAATATTAAATAAATATCATACCTTTGATCTTTTCAATCACCTTTTTCAAAGATTGTAAACTTGCTGTACGAATTGCTAAATATTTTGCATCTAATAAACCTTCTTTTAATCCTTCAAAAATATTAATTATTGTCTCCTCATCAATTACTAGTCCATCATTATTATTATTATTGAGATCCAATTTTTCAACAAATTTCTCTAATGACGACAAAACTCCTAATCTCACATTCCAAACATTTTTTCCTGATCCTAATGATGAAGCAAGAATTGTTCCAAGTTCTTTGGAATGTTGTTCTAAATTTTATAATTATAATTAATGATAATAAATAAATAATTAATTATAATTAAAAATTAATAATTAATAATAATAATAATAATTAATAATTTAACAATTATAATAATCTTATAATTAATTACTCACTTTGAACATTTCTATTTTTAGACCAAACCAAACCAAGACATTTCATAGCACTAGCTTTAACCAATAAAAACAAAGGACGATCATTTGCATCATCTTCATCCATTTCATTTGGATCTTGTGATCCAATTGCTAATTCAATTAAGAAATCTTTAACTTGTTCATAAATATCTAATTTATCGCTAAATGCATCTGCGAATAATCCAAGATTATCCATACAATGACGTTTATATTGTTTATTGGTTTTCTTAGTTTCACGTATAAGAACCTAAAAAAATTATAATAATATAATATTTATTAATATAGATTTATTAATATAACATTTATTATTAATATAGATTTATTATTAATATATAGATTTATTATTAATATATAGATTTATTATTAATATAATAAATGTTACCTTGGAAATTTCATCTAATTGTAAATATTCATTAGATTCAAAATATTCTTTACAAAATATAGATGAAGATGTTAATGCTTCAATAAGTGCTTCCTTTCCCACCCAAGTTCTTCCTGATAATCCATCAATTAATAATGGAATTACTGTTTTCATATATGATAATAAACTTTTTTCTAAAATAAAAATATAATAATAATTAATTAATTATTATTATTATTATTATTATTATTATATTTATCATTATTATTATTATTTATATTATTATGATTATTATGACTATTATTATTACTATACTATTATTATAATTACCTATCGTTTTAGCAACATCAGCTATTGTCAATGCTGCTTGTCGTTTAGTTGTCCAAGAAGGTGACTCCAATAATTTTGATAAAAGTTCAATAAGTTCATTTAAATATAATTTAATTGCACCAGTTGATCCTAATGATGATTATATAATATATTATTATTATAGATTCTAGATTCTAGATTCTAGATTATAGATGTTATTAATAAATATTATTAATAGATAGATTACCTGATGTATTTTCATCCCAAACTTCGGTCCATACATTCTTTATATTAATTTCAGGATCATGCATACCATAATATACAAGTGGCATTATTTCCACATAAATTCGTTTTAATTCATCTGATGCATGTCGGGATATTTCTAAAACTGTAATTCCTGTAATTGATCGAATTTCTTGTTCTAAAGATATAATATTAAATTATTAAAATTATTAAATTATTTATTAATTGTTATTAAATTATTATTATTCATTATATATTAATTATTATTCATTATATATTAATTATTATTCATTATATATTAATTATTATATATATATATATATATTAATTATTTATAATAATATTTACCACTATTATCACAATAAACTTTCTTTAAATGACTCATAAATTTAATCAAAGTATTATCAGTAGATAAATGAGCGACATATCCTATCGCAACTGCATATGACTTGCGAATTGCTGGTGATGGATCTAATAGAGCTCCACTAAGTGCTTTCATAATATTATCAGCAAATGGTCTCAATATTGGTGCTTTCCTTTGTGACAATGTTACCAATAATCTAGCACATCCCGCCTATGTAATGATATAATGAAATAATAATTAATTAAAAATGATATAATAATAAATTTCAATGTAATAGAATAAATTAATTTTAATATATAAATACCTTAGTTGGTAATCCAATACCTTTTCTTATTAATTGTAATAATTTGGGTTCAAATTCTTTCATAACATTTTCATCAATATTATCAATACATGATTCAATTCCTTCCATTATTGGTGACATTTTTGTTGCTGATAAACGGGTATTTTCATACTAATCAATTGATATTTTAATATTTATTATTTATTCATTTATTTATTTATTTATATCTGTTTTATTCATAATTATTTATTTCAATTATTCACTCACCTGTTCTTGAGTTACATTATATTTTTCAACATGGAAACTGAGATAATCTATATATTTATTTATTAAAAAAAATAAATTAAAAATAAATGAATAAAATTAAAAAAAAATAATAAAACTTGAAATATAAAATAAATTGAAAAATAAAATTATATTTAAAAATAACATACTCATAACTTGAGGTTCCATACTAGACAATCCTTCCAATAAAGTTCCAATCATTTCTGAAATATGAGATTTTAACAATTCTTTGGCTGATTTACAAATTTTAAGAATTGCTCTCAATGAAAATTTACGAACATCTTCAGCATCCGAAACCAATCCTTTGGTTAATAAAAATGGTACAATTATATTTATAATTTTACGTCCATCATTAACCGAAACATTTTCCGGATCACAGTATTTAACTGTTACTTTGGTTAATGTACGACATGTTTTGGATGCTGCTATTCGTACACTTTCCTAATACATAACAATAATTTAATAAATGTGATATAATAATAATAATAATAATTTAATATAATATAATATCTTAATGTAGTGTAATTACTTTGATGTCATCTAAAGCTCTAAAACAATTATTCCATAAAATTTGTAAATGTGGTTCCAATTCCTGAATAGATCTTCCTTGTAACAAATCTGTTAATGCATTAGCACTAAATAATAATATATAATAATAAATAAATAAATAATTAATTAATTAATAATAAATAATAAACAATAAATAATAAATAATAAATTATAAATAATAAATAATAAATAATAAATAAATAATATTAGTGAATATTTTTTACCTTGATTCACGAGTTCTCCATAATCTATCACCAATTCCTACTAATAAATCTTTTACAATAACATTGAAATATTCTTCAGTTGCTTTTTTAGGATCCTTAATTAAAGCTTTCCAAATACTTGTCATCGCTTCACTAACTTTAGGATTTGGATCAAATTGATATCTATATAATCTTGGAATCAAATCTTTTAAATAAGGTTTTAATTCATTTTCGGCTTGAACAATGATATGAGAGAATCCAAATGCGGCCCCTTTTCTGGTTTGCCACATAGCATTATGACTTGCCAACTGCATAAATTTATAAACCAATTCAGGTTGATTCATATCAGAAGCTAATGATAAGATTGATTGATATGTGGTGATCGCTGATCCATCAGGGGTTTGTCCCAATGAATTGGAATCAAATAATTGAGTATCTCGATCAATTGTTTCTTTTGGTCGTTTGCCTTCACTAAACATTTCTACTAATGAATTAACCAATTGTTCTTTAACTCCTTGATCTCCTAATTCATAAACAAGTCCAATTCCTTTTGATGCTACGTCTTGAACGAATTCTAATATTATTATTAAATATTATTATTATGTGATTGTCATTAAAAATAAATAAATAAATATATATATATTAAAATATTAATATAATCTTATTTTATGATGTATAATAATTACCATCTCTGTCTGCCAAAAGAAGAGAAAATACTCCATGAATTTTTGGTAATGAAACCTTGAAAAATTGAAAATATTTAATAATTAATATAATTTTATAATAATTTATAATAATTTAAAAATAATTAATATTAATATTAATAGAATGATAATGCAATTGATATTAAAAAAAAAATTAATGTGATTAAATAATAATATAATTGATGAATACGAAATACCTTAATAATATCCACATTATAACAAAATTTGACTAAACATAACATCCATATACAAACAGCTTTTTTAATTGGAGCTTTTCCTGAAGGTAATAATTCAGTAAATATCTTATTAAGTACTCCTTCCATTACATTTGAATTAATTTCTATAAAATAAGAAGTGGTGGAAGAGGAAGAAGAAGAAGAAAGAAGAGGTGGATTTGATATATCGGCTATATCTAAATAAGGTTCCATTGCTATACTCTTCCAACCTCCAGTGATAAATGTAATCGCTTCTCCTATGGTGAAATGAACATCGACTTGTTTAAGAGATGATGAAAATTCATAGAATAATGATAATACTTTTTCGGTATATTTTAAATCTCCCATTGATATATGACCTAATGCAATAATGATTGTTTCTTGGATCTATAAATATAATTAATGATTATTATTAGGTGATGATGATTAGGTGATGATGATTAGGTGATGATGATTAGGTGATGATGATTAGGTGATGATTATTATTATTATTAGATGATCATTATTATTCATTATTATTTACCTTAATATCTTTAATATTCTTTACAATTTTAATCAACTTATCAATTATTGTTGAAAATATATTATTATCATCATCATCCTTATTATCATTATTATCATTATCATCAATATTACTGAATAATCGAAAACTGGAAGTGGTATATCGACCAATCTCTCCTAAAGCTTTAGCCGATCCATTTAAATATAAATTCTTGGTTGAATCTAAGTCTTTAATAATTATTTTTATTGCTTCTGCTAAAATGTTATCTGGTACTAATTTATCATAATTAGTTGGATATCTAAAAATTAATCGACTTATGATATATCCTAATGCGATTATACTTCCATGATGATAATCAATGGAAACCTACATTAATGATAAAAATATATTAATATCAATAATACTAATATTCATTAAATAATAATAATAATAATAAAAATAAAAATAAAAATAATTTACTTGTCGTGATTCTACTTTTGCAATATCAATAAATTCTTTGATAAGTTCTTGAACATTTTTACATCTTTCCGAATAATTCTCCAATTCACTCGTACTCACTATTCCTAATACATGCGCCATACAATTACGCACTTCTAATTTTGTTACACTCATAAAAGGCTTTTAAATCGTGAAATGTGATATTAAATAATAACAAGGTGATATAAATAAAGTGATGCAAAAAAGTAATGTAAATGATGTAAATAATGTGAAGAATTAATTCCCTTACCTTAATCCAACTTATTCTATTCTCATATGAACGTGATAGTGATGATGGTCCAAGTGAAATAAGTTCCAAAAGGCAAGATGATGCAGTGGATTGTAAATTTGTATCTATATGAGCATAATAATAATAATAATAATAATCATAATGGTAATATAATAAATAAAAATATAATATAATAAATAAATAATGTATTAAATAAAATAATAAAATATAATAAATAAAATATATTTTATTTACCAATTAAACTTTCATTCGATAATCCTTTCTCTAATAAACCAAGGTAAACATGACAAACTCCTTCTCTTTCTCTGGTAAGCTGATTATCTTCTTCAATATCCATTTTTTCTATTTCAAAATCTTCTTCTTCTTGCTGTTGCGGCTGTTGTTTTTGTTGTTGTTGTTGTTGGAGGAGTTGTTGATCCCTAGTCCATTGTTCTCTTATCCAATCTTTTACCAAACTTCGGGTTTTTGATTCAAATATTTTATTTTCACTATCAAATTCATCAAATAAAAATTCATCCACCATAGCATTAGGATCCGCATTTATAATCATTAATTGTCTTAAGAATTTTAAAATATTTGTATAAACTTCTGATCGATATCCTTTCACATATAACGTTCGACCACTTAAATTCGCTTGATTATTTATTAATAATTTATTCCGATAAATGGATTTTTCATATATAATATTAACCATATCTGAGAATTTAGGAATTTTATTATTCTTATCATCATCTTTATTATTATTATTATTCTTCTTCTTCTTCTTGTCATCATCATCATTATCATCATCTTGAATTGATCTCAAATTATTAGGAAATGATAATCCTTGTGATGCCATCTCACGAATTTCCAATTTGTCATCAGCTGAAGTGAGTAAACAAAGATATCGTGATAAAACATGCGAAAATGGGAAAATATTTACTGCATATTTTACCGCACAATATCGAGATTGTCGAATAGGCTATAAATAATAATAATATTATTATTTTAATATAGTTTTAATAATACAATATAATAATAATAATAATAATAATAATATCATCATACCTTATCAATATTTTCTTCTAAAATGCTTTCAATAATCTTTATATTTTCCGGATTATTATTTATCATATCTAGTTTATATACTTCTATCATGTTTGATAATGCTTCTTGAACTGAAATTCTGATATTTTCATTCTCCAATGATAATGCAGAAAAAAATCTAGAAAGTATTGAAAGATCTTTATGAAATACTTCAGGAACTAAAATTATATATATATATATATATATATCAAATATCAAATATTATTATGTACGTTATGTTATATATAATATATGTATATATATTTATATAAATGTAATTACCTTTTTGGGCCAATAAACTGATAGCTATATAAGCAAAACCAATAATGGTTTCTTTTTCATTTTTCATCTTTGATCTATCTATTAATAAATAATACATACAAATTAATAAAAGGATAAATATATAAATAGTAAAAATAATTATTATCATCATCATCATCATTATAATTATGATTTATTATTTACCTTCATTTATATATTTCAATAAACCAGACAAAAGTACTTGAGTAATTGGTCTTATCTTTGATGCATCAGCCTAAGCAAATAAGCAAATAAACAAATAAACAAATAAACAAATAAGCAAATAAAAAAATAAAAAAATAAGTAAATAAGTAAATAAGTAAATAAGTAAATAAGTAAATATACTAATATAAACATATAAATATAAATGTCTAAATTAAAGAATAACTCATTTACTAACCATTCTTGCAATCCATTGAACAAATGACATTCCTTGATTTTGTAATTTTAGATTTGTAGTGGGACCTGAAAAATAATAATTATAAATAATTAACATTTATATTAATAATAATAATAATAATAATATTATTATTGTTGTTGTTATTATTATAAATAATATATTTACCATACAAACAATCAAATGAAACTTGTAACATGGCAGGAAAAGTATTTGTGGCTAATTGGGATTTACAAAGGTAATTCATAATTTTAAATTTAAGGGTTGGTGATGCTGGTTCTCTAAATGTTTCTGATGATGGATCTAAAATTTATGAATTGATTAAATTAATTAAATTAATTAAAATTGATTAATATATCTATCAATCAAATCATAATTTTCAATATATATATATATATTATATTTACTTGAGTCTTTTTGATTACTACTTCCTTGATGTAAAAAATATAATCCATCCACTACCTACATTTAACAAATAATTATTATATTAATAATAATTGAAATGTAAATAAACTATATAAAAATAACTAATCATAAATAATCCAATACATATAAATAAATAAATAAATAAATAATAAATAAATATTTGAACCTCTTTATTTTCTAAATTTGGTGGTTTCAATTTTCTTAAACCATCTTCACCACCACCAACTACCTCATGTGAGGAATCACACGTGGCCACCAATAATATTAAAAATTTAGCAAATTGAATATTCTCAGGTAATGAATCCGGAAAAATCATCGATGAATTAATGAATCTAAGAATTCCCATCTATATTAAAAATTAATTACCAAAAAATAATTAATTAAACAAAATAAATAAATAAATAAAATCAACAAAATAAAAATAACCAGGTTTGATGAGTTTTAATGACAATAATAATAATAATGATAATGATAATAATAATAATAATAATAATAATAATAATAATAATAATAATAATAATAATAATAATAATAATAACCTTGATAACTTTGAGATCGGAAATTTTCTCCGCCCAAGGTGCTTTTCCATTATTTGTGACGAATTTTACAGCACTTTGACTTAATCCAGGTGGTATAGTTTTACCTGATCCTTCTTGTCTTTAATATTATTGTATTTATATTTATAATTAAAATAATTGAGTAATTTATAAAATATGAATAATTAATGAAAAAAAAAAACTCACTCGGAAATAATATTTGAATTTTGTTGTGGTTGTTGTGGTAGTGGTTCTTGTAGCGGTTGTTGTAATTGTTGTTGTTGTTGATGTTGTCTATCATGTTGTTGTTGTCTATTTTTTTGTGGTGGATTATATAACATCAGATCCAAAAATGACTTTAACAAGAATTTAGCATCATTGGGATGTGATTTAAAATTATATGGATCTAATGCAGATGGTGAATTTGCTGGTTTAGGTTTAAATTTTTGTAAAACCTAAAATGAGAGTTTTGTGTATGTTTTTTTTTTAAAAAAAAAAAAATAAAAATAAAATAAAATAAATAAATGTCATAAAAAATTTGTAAAAGAAATGAAAATAAAAAAAATACAATAAATATTTTAATTAAATAAAATAATAATATTTACGCTAAGAATTATATGAATCAATGTTTGTTTTTGGGCAGAAGGTTTTAAAGAAATATTCTCAATTAATGATGGCAGATGAGTAATTTGATCCTATTAAAGTTTATAAAAAATAATTATACATTAATTTATTATCTAAAATATTTTAATATTATTTAATAATATATTTTATAATACATTTATAATTTAAAATTACCTCTTCTGTTAAACGTTCATAAGCCATCTCAAGATACATGATAGCGAAATTCTTAACAAAAGGTGATTTAGTAACATTTTCAGTACAAACAAGATCAATGAGTGGAGTCAATGGAAGTTTAATATTGGTTTTAGAACGAATTCGCTTATTGATGTGTGACAATACATTCATAACCTATAATTTGATTATAATTTGATTTAATTATTTTTCTTAAATTCATTTAATTCATTTTAATTCATAATAATAATAATAATTGTTATTGTTTATTTTTTTACCTTTGAACGTACAGCTTCATGAGGACTACCCAACTTTATTAAGACAGGACTCAAAAAAATTGTTAATGTTTTTTCTAATTGAGCGTCAGTCTCTGCCAGTGCAAAACGAAGCTCAACATTTTCAAGTAATTCTACATATAAAAAATATTATAATTATACATATAAAGTTATATAATCATATATAAATATATATGCATGTATATATATATATCAAATACTATATAAAATCGTGAAAGATAAAATTGTTTTAATACCTATTTCTTTCTCCATTTTTCTATATATATTATATGAATTTTATATATAAGAATTTCTAAGAATAAAAATGCGAATTCAAAGAATGAATTAAGTAGAGATTTTGATTAAAACTACCATAAATGAAATATATCACGTGATATAATTACGATAGAATCTTTCGTAAGTCTATTATTAGCCAAAATTAGTAATTAGTAATCTTTATAATCATATGATTTGAAGTATAAAAATTTTTAATCATTCATATCTCTTATTTTTTAATATCTCATTCATCTTCTCATCCACTCTTATTTATCTTTATTTATCTTATTATTATTATAATTATTAATTATTATTATTTCATTCATCATTAATTATTATTATTATTATCTATTCTATCTATATATTCTATCTACCTAATAATGTTACCACAACTTCCCGCAGAAATTATAGCAGAAATATTTGAATATTTTCAATATGATATAAAATCAATATATTCATGTGTCAAAGTCAATCGAATGTGGTGTAAAATAGCAATTCCAGTTTTATGGCGTTTTCCTACTCAACATAAATTTCTCCTTTCCAACAATAAATTTTGGTCAAGCATTTCTCGAATCATTATATCTTGTTTATCGGATGATTCCTTCAAACATATAATTCGACTTTATGAAAGTAATAATCTTCCATTTCTTCAAAGTCGTTCCACTTATTATTCTTCTTCTTATCCTTCTTCTTCTTCACGTCCTTTATTTAATTATCTCTTATTTTGGAATACCTTAACTCATTCGGATATTAATAATATCAAAAAATCGATCTTTCTTAATGTCACATCAATTCATGCGGATTATATTATTGAAGATGAACTTTATCGAAATTTTTTATCTTATGGATCAAGATTAAAATATCTTCAACTTCCTTATAATATTCGTTTAACCAAATATCCCGAAGCTCAATATACTTTAATGAATCTTCAATATTTAAGATGTGACGCGAATACTTCGGCCAATTATTATAATGAATTGGCAATTTATTGTTGTACATTAAAAAAGTTAATCATTGATATATGGGGAAAAGATAATGAAGGATTGGCCAATTTTATTAAATCTCAACATTCACTTCAACATTTTGAAATTCATTCTCAAATTATTCAAATTTATCCATTAATCGCGGATGCATTATGTACTCAAGTTGATACATTAAAATATTTAAGAATTGTGGGAAATCCTTGTTTTAAATCAAGTGTGATTGGTAGGTTTCAAAAGTTAAAAACCTTAAGTTTGGAAAATTTTAATCATCATGTGGAAGTTTTGGAAAATTTGAAATTTCCCGAACTTGAAAATTTGGATATCATTTATGATACTGTAACTTCTTTTGAAGTTTATAAAGAAATTATTGAAGGAGCCGCTCCAGTAACTAGAAATGATAATATCTTTAATAATGGCAATGATGATGATGATGATGATGGTTGTGATAATAACTTTAACTTTATTACTGGTGATGATGAGATTATTAACATTAATTATGTTAACAATAACAATATCAATAACAATATCAATAATAACAACAACAACAATAATAATAATAATTATAATTATAATAATAATAATAATAATAATAATAACAACAATAACAATAACAATAACAATAAGAATAAAAATAATAATAATAATAATAATAATAATAATAATAATAATAATAATAATAATAATAATAATAATAATAATAA